CGCAATACATACGCCCCTCGAAGAAAGGAATACAACGCGCCAGCACCAGAGACGCCGCAGATTAGAAAGCGCGTTGAAAGATCTCGCACATGCGCCCGTCAGCCGTTATGCAACTCCCGCGGTAGACAAAGCTTTGGACTACTTCCAGGATGTCCTTACCCAAAGAAAGTGCAGGAACGGGTTCCTGTAAAGCTCACAACAACACCTTGCATTTTGAAGATATAAAGGACAAATCATAACGAGTAACCTCAATTACCAATTGATTCAAGGACTCTCGAATAGTCGCTGCGTTGTCACCGAGTAAGACAATATCATCGGCATACTCCAAGTCTACGACTCTGTCTCCAGGAGGATGCCAGTGTTCGTTGCCTTATGTTACGTTTTTGGTAGAACATTATCTATGGCACAGTTGAGGAGAAACGGAGAGACACGGCAACCCTGTCATATACCCCTGATGACAATAAACGAGGGTGAAAGTTCCCCACAGGCCCCAACCTTCCCCGAGGTCTGACAGTAGAGTGCTTTTAGAAGCAGAACATACTTCTCAGGTGCTCCATATTTCAAGAAACAGTTCCACATTGCCGTGTGACTGATGGAATCGGAGGCCTGTCTGTATGTGTGGTGGTGTTCAAGTAGATGAGGGAGGGTGAAGATTTGATCTATGCAACCACAGCGTGCACGAAACCGGGTCTGCTCCTCGATTTTCGCGAAATGAGGTTAATCTGTGTAATAGAACGGACGCTGTAAGCTTCGATGCTATTGGAGTCAGACTTATACCCCTGTGGAATAGGCGTTGCGACAGCCCTTCTTGTAGATGGGTGTAACAATCGATTCTCCCCATTAACACTTTCGGTTTCCCAGATCTTACGATCGTTAAAGAGGGCAGGTGACAGGCAGTCTGATCCAGTCGCACTATAGTGTTTCAGGACTCGAAGTTCCCTTTGAATGTCCGCTTCTGTAAGCGGTCCCATGGATAGTGACCAGGGTGCACGCTAAAGAGAACTACTTGAGGCAGCCAGCGCGGCAGGCTGGTTGATTGCGATGTGAAGTGCTCCACCCAGCGTTCCGAGAGTCATGGAGGACTGCAGAGTAGTGCCGTCTACTTCGCAGATTGTTTCACTAACGCACTGTCTTTTGGGGCCCGTAGCAGCGATGAGTTGGAACAGTTGCTAGGTGTTTCCACACCTAGCTGCTGGTTCCATCTCCTTTGCACGTAGGGTCCAATAGGCATCTTGGTCGTCTCTCAACCTGCTCGTGAGTTCACGCTTCAGAGAGTCACTGTTCACTTTACTCGCTGAGTTTACTTGAGCCTCGGAAGTTCAAAGTCAGCTATCTATCGGGATCCAGTCCAATACACCAGCCTCGGCCATTGCGCTTAAGGCAATAACAACGCCTGCTTGACCAGGCGCTGATGCATTCGAAACGCTTCTTTGGGGTTATAAGGATTACTGAGCTCGGATCCGGAATACATGTTTCCTGGAGGCAACCACACACCAAACATGCACTTCTTTGTGCCGGTTTTCGTTGCTGTCGCTGTATGCTGAACACCTAGGTCATTGAGTCGGTCCCCGGATCAAACTCGACGGCCTGATCTGGGAACAAGATAAACTTTGTTTTGAGTATGGCGATCTTTCAAATTGCTCTTTCCCCGATGGCTGATACTAACTTCACGTACTTCTTTGTAACACATATAATGCATTTCATAATCGGACTGTTCATTCATTTGGTACATTACCATCCACATTCCGGCTGACAATATGTGTTTAACCTGTTTTACCGAGCAGTTGACACGTGAGGGATGGACGTAGTTCAGGCAGCACATGCATGGGGTACCTGTTTAAACGTCATTCCCACACCACATACAGCGGCGTTTTTCTTGACACCGCGAAGTTCCATTTTCGGTCTTTTTCCAACGTCGAGGATGAAAGTGGTTAAGTGGGACAGCAGTTGATAGCCTCGATCAAACACTTGTACGGATCAGTACTGATCAGCAGCACATAGAACAGTGACGAAATCCGGGGCTATAGCCGAGTCGGTGAACCAGTGGCAGCTCACCTAGGCTAGTTGGCTTGAGATCATGATTCTAAACGAACCAAGAAGAGGCGTACGAACCACTAACACCCACAGCTTGGTTGTGGCAGTGATCACCGGCTCNTAGGCATCGAGCTGTATTGCACACCTTGGACGTCTGAACACGTCCAAAAAGCGCGTCATCCAATGAACTGAACAACAGCCCCCAATGGACTGCAGCCCTCGCTTGCTTGCGGGGTACTCTAGCCGAAGCCTCCAGTCGTGAATTTCCAAAGAAAATTTAACGTTTGCTGGGTAACTTGGCAGATCGCGACCATAAAGATCACTGTACTATGATTTATTTGGCACATGGTCTAGACTCAGATGTGTTGAATATAAACAGTGACGAATTGCAAGTATCAATCAATTGGAATGACCGTATACAAGGTGTACGGAGTACGCAGTAAAAGCAGCACCTCTGACTCGGAGGGCTATCGGCTCCTTTGGGGTACCCTCCGTTATTTGGCCTCCACCAGGCGCTTAGCTCTCACCTTTGGCTCCAAAAGGCTGTCTGGATGCTACAACGGTCACAGAGTTGGTTTAATCAATATTGCCTCTAAACTTCTCGCCGGTATCATACTCCGTCGATTGTCTGCCGC